GCTGGTCCCGCCCCGCCTCAGCCCGGCCGCGGTCGGACCCTCCGTGCTGCAGCGCGCCCCCGGCCYGGGTCTGCCCCGACCCCACCGCTGCGGCTTCGCCGGCCGTGGCGATGCCTGGAACTGCTCCCAGCCCCGGCCCTTCGCGGAAACCAGTCCCGAAAAGCCCCAAAGCCGTGCTCATAAGCCTCACGTTTCCCAAAGCTTCAGCCGAGGCGGAGCAGGGAGTTCTCCGGGCAACATTCCTATTTCTGAGAGCCGAGAGCTCTAGGAATCAAAACCAAAAGCGGCATCAGTGCGTACCACCTCTCCCCGCTCTTCCCCTCTCCCTAGCCTTTCTTTTTCATCGTGGTGCAATCACACTATTCATTTCCCAAACAGATGGCTTACATGACTGATATATATTAGGAAGAGGATGACTGATGCCAAAGGACTGGAAATTATACACAGTATCCAGGATATCCGTAAATTCCAGGAACTATGTCCTGCTTCTCCAGAGACAAAGAAGCAATTTATTTAAATAGCTCTGTTCCCTGTTGCTGAAAGATCCTTCTGGGAGATAAACCTCCAATTTAATTACCTGATAATACAAACTGGAAATACAGTGTGGTGTATAGTTTCTTTTCTGGGATAACATTTTTTATGTTATGAAACATAATCCTACAGGATCTCTGCTATAACTTTTCTGAAAGAAAGCAACCTTGAAATAAGAATATTACTCAGAACATTACCAAAGAACCAAGAGCAACTGTGAGAACAGTTTATTACTGAGCATATTTACAGGGTGAAATATGAATCAAATACAAAATTGTGATACACGGCAGCATACAGGTGACAGAAATGTGTACCGAAGGAGGGGAAGGACACACAAACCCCTATGCTCTCTGGATCCTAAGCATCAGCTACTGTCACTTGCAATATGTAGTTAATGGTTTTACGGGCCATAAGCCAACAGGTGATAAAGAAACCACCAGAACTCCCCCCTGGAAGCCACTGGTTTTTCTGCTGACACAGAGCCTTGGTGTGGAGGTGTTTGACAACAATTGGCTTAATGATGATCAAGTCTGCCAGAATCATATGACATAACCCTCCAGAAAGAAGGATGTAGATATTGGTTATGCAATAAAACCTCCTCTGCACACTGCTCACACACACCTCCAAAGAGACAATGACTGCTGTTCCTGCTGCTTCCAAGCCCTCTCCAGGGGATATCAGCCCAACARAGACTCATCTCCACAAGCACAGAGGCGCAGAGGCCTCAAGGCAGATGGGAACCCACAAAAAAGACACAGAGGAAGCTCATATTTTAATAATCTTCAAATAATTTAACAATAAACATGATGCTGGTAAATGGCAAACTTCCTTATACAGCTATGTGGTGTACATTAAGTTACAAAAGTCACAAGACCAGACAAAACAGTCATAAACTGGATTGAGAAACCTTCCAATAAGAACAAAAAATGAGTACAAAACCCATCCCAGAATGAAGTGGAAGTTTCTAGTTTATAATAAACACTTTAGTTAACTAAAAAGCTGTGTCAAAGCTACAGGTTTATCTTTGCTCTGTGCAGCTACTAAGACTTTCATTCACATATGTCCTGTTTTCAGAAGCTGAATAGAAAAGCAAAAATATAGATAAAAATCTTCAAGGTTGCAATCATCTTTTTTTGATTAATGTAAAGTATTAGAAATCCAGATTTTTTTTCCTGAAGTGTCATTCCTATAATTTAAAAAAATTTAAAAGTCACTGTCACAAGGTAAAGAATGAGTTATTATGGGGTTAAAATGTCTAACAGTCATTTATATTTACAGTCAGTACGCTTCTAGCATACTTAAGTAAATATACTATGGTAAGACAAAGAAATGGGCTTGCTAAATGCTACAAATTCAGGGCATTGATCGGTATTTCTTTTGAGCCATTTAGCTATTTTGATTGATAGGTTTTGGAATTTAATTTTGTAGATGATCTTCAAAGTTCAATGGAATGAATCAGGCAGACTGATATACAGTATAACCTACTTTCCACATACTACTTCTACAGGCTATCTCCAGCATTATGTGCTTCCTTCTCAATCTGGATTACATCATTGATGAGAATWATGAATGGTTTTACATCCAAATCACTGTGGTAAAATTCAGACTGAGGCATCCTWGTGCACTACATATAAAGATGAGGAAGAGTGTTAGCTTTCTTTCAAATATTTCTTCTGGTTCTTCTTCTATGTTCCTCTTTCTTCCTCACCATGTAAAAAACACAAATAAATTACCAAAAGATCTGCATTAGCACAAATTGTAACATTAATTTCCATTTTCAGTTGAGTCTTTTTTTTTTAGCTATCACAATCAACATTTCCAAGGCTTAATTATTTTTGGACCAGTTGTTTGTGGAGAAAATACAAGTTATAATTTAAATATTTTTTAAAGATACTTTATGACTGTATATGGGTCTTCTGAAGTAGCAGCAACACCTGTAGATCTCAGGACTAATGGARCACTGCCTGCCTTCAGAAAGGCCAACAATCCAAGAGCACCATGCAATAGATGATGCTGTCTGAATTTAATCTCCATACCATGACCTGACAGACTGGGAATTGGAATAGGACAGGCGATGTCCCCCAGAGTGGTACCATGAGTATTGATAATATCAGGGAAATTACATCATGTAGCTCAWGTCTGGAGCAGCAAGTTGTATCAGCAAAGAGAGGCAAGACCTCCAGCCTCTGCTGCAGGTGGGCTCCTGCCAGCGTTTGCAGTCTGATGTAGTTCAAACCTGCCTCCCTTCCACAGGCGTAAATCACAGTGGCTTCTCATACCCAATCAAAACTAGCCTCTGTTCTCTATGCTGCTTCTTAAATCCTTGATCCTTTCTTCAGAAACCAGAACCATTTCCCCAGCACTGAGCCACAGTTCTGCCCCTCCACCTCTCTTTTACCTATTCCTGTGTTATTGAAATCTGCTGTCACATCGTGTTAACCCTTCCACAGAAATCAGACCCCTACAATACAGAGGTCTGTCAAACACCTTTCTCTTCAAGAAAGGATTTGGGCAAACCCAAATGGTTTGCTTGGCTGCAAGGGGCTCAGTGAATAAAAGTTGATGGTGTCTTTGGTAATCTGCTTTGAAGGAATATCACATTCTCACAAATTTATCCGCGAGAGACCCATCACTCACAATTTTCTCTGATGAAGTCTAAAGAAACACTTGTCAGTGGCTGCCARTGCAGTACTGCCATCTTGCGTGGAGCTGGAGTATACAAAGAAATTTCTTCCCTGGATCTCCGCAGTGTCAAAAGAAGAAAGAAATTAAATACTTACTAAACATTTTTAAAAGTTACAGGCAAGTTTCCACAACCAAAAAAAAAATTTAAAAAAAAAAAAAAAAAAAAAAGGAAAAATGGGAAGACCACTGTATTCTTAGAATTTTTTAACAGAAATTTTTAGAAAATGTTTGCATTTAGAAAATAAGCATTAGCAAAAACAATATGTCAAGATGTCAGCAGATTGAATGAGTAGACTCAGTTTAGAAAAACATTAATTTCTTGTGATAAGGCGAGACGGCAAATTGCACTATGAGGTGGTTTTTGAGGTGCCATATATCCTCACAGACGCGAGGATATATGTTTGGAGACTTAAATGAGATACTCTACAATGCCAAAAGTGTTCTGGGAGTTGAAGCATGGTGCTAATAACGCYAGGGGTGCAGGTTTGAACCCTCTATGGGTCATTCACTTAAGAGCTGGACTCGATGATCCTTGCGGATCCCCTCCAGCTCGGAATGTTCTGGGATTCTGTAATTCCAGCCCTTATCTCTCCCCCTGTGTTAAAGGCTGACTGACAGAGCGTAATTTCTGGCTCAAGATTTTTAAGTATGAAAATTTAATCTCTTAAGATTTCAAAGCCAGCCTTTAATTATGAATGATGCCATGAAAACATTCTGACCCGTGATGAAAGGCAGTGCAAGATAAGAACAGTTAAGCATCAAAGGCATTTTTAATTCTTCTCCTTGTCAATTTATATGTTGTGCCACGATGCATCACACCCGAGCGGTGAGCCCACCGGACCTGCGGGTTTATTTATGTGGGAAGAATTTTTCCGGGTTTCTGGAGAGTGTTTCTATAGGTAAAGCCGGGGCGGTGAACGCGGGGCGGGATCCAGGACAGGCTCCGCCCGGGGGCGGCTGTCCTCACGCACGCTCGCCCTGTTTTCCCGTCGCTCTGTCGTTCCTGTTCTTGTGTTTGTTGCTCCGAGGGGCGCGATGGGGTTCGTCGTCTCCAAGGCCATGAACGACAGCCTGAAAGGGCAGCAGGAGTTTATGCGGCTGCAGGTAACACAGAGGCCGGCGCTGTGGCGGGGGAAGGCGGCCCGCGGCTCTCTGCCCGGCGGGGCTGGGCCGGGCCGGCGGCTGCTCCTGAGCTCTGCTCTCCTCCCTGGGTTAAAGGTGACCCATTATCGTGCTCCACCAGCTCCTGTGTGCTTGCCTAGTGCATCCCGCTCGGGTGTGTAAAGCACCTGTTCTCTGTGTCAAAGAACTTCCTCGGCAGTCTGTGTTAACAAATTGTACAAGTGGAAACGATCATTGTAGTAGCCGGGCCCTAAAAACACAGTTTTGGAAACTTCCTTCAAAACACTTAAGCTGAACTTGAGCTCACACTGAAGTGCAGCTGGGCTACTGCAGAGTTAAGAAACACATATATGTTAGAGTGAATTAGTAGCAATGTGGTTGCTAGAACATGGATATTTTTCAACTCTTTCACGACAAAAAAAAAATCTTTGAAACAGCTTGCTCTTTAAATTTAGTTAGGTAACTGGAGCTGTTCGTTTCTCTAGAAACCTCAGACTAAATAGGGCGTAGGGAGTGTTTTATTGCCTCTCATAAAATAAGAAAACAGCAGCAGAGAAAAAGGTAAAACGGTTTGATGAAGGTTCAGGAACCTTCATCAAAAAGAACTTTCAGAAACCTTCATCACCTTCAGAAAGTTGTGCTGAATTTACAGTATAGCACTAGTTAGAGCTTTCTGATTTGTTGTTATCTTTTGACTTACTTGTATTATTTGTATGCTAAGTGCTGGAATACAATCTAAAAGATTTACCTGGAGTTTGTGCCTTTAGTTTTGTATTTAAATTGAACACAGGTAAATTTTTAAATGTTTGAAGAAGTAATGAACTTCCAGCTTCCTAAATTGCCAGTAGATGGCATATTCTTGTTTACTAAGCAGTGTGCAGTGGTAGGTTTTGTGGGATCACAAGTAAACTGACTCTGAAGGTGACCTTGGGAACCTGTCTAAGGAGAAAGGTAGCATAAGGAAAGATGATACAGTAAAATGCATGATAACTCTAAAGGGTTCAAAGGAAAACAATTTTTGATAGGTTTGTAGACATCGTTTTCTGTGTGGGATGTATTACATGTTTCTCAGATGCAACCACAAGTTTGTGCACAAACTTCTTTTTTCCCTCCTGCACAGAGACACTCCTCCCACCTCCAGAGTTTTTTGAAATCCAAATAACAGGAAGGTTTTCAGTTTGACAGATTGATAATGAAATTACAGTGGAAGCTTGATTCACAATCTCCTTCTCTGTTGTGAAAAGAAAAAAAAGAGAAAAGAAAAAAAAAGACGGGGTTGAAGAAACAACTTGAATTCAAGCTAGCATTTGTAGGCAGCTGCAGACTTTGGCAGTCTTTGCCTTGGCCCCAGGAGCCAAATAGCTCTGTTTCTAGCTCAAATGCTCAGGCATTTATAAAAAAATAATTTTGAGGTCAGTCAAAAAAAAAAAAA